TTGGGTTTTTTTTTTTTCCTATTTGGGTTTTTTTTAAAGAACTGGCCTCACACAGAACTTTTACATCTGTTTTCCTTTAACATCATAATATTAACCGTTATGCCCTCAATTAAAATGTTGTCAGAAGCTGGGAAGAAAAAGTCTGATTCTCCCGTACAGCCTTCAGAGGACCTGAGGCAGTGCGGACACTTCAATTCCAGATTTCTGGCCTCTAGAACGGTAAGAGAACACATTTCTGCTACTTTGAGCCGACAACAAAAATAAATGTATGCATATACATATACATCCTTGAAAAGCAGGGCTTTTCGTGGCTACTATTCTCTTTCACAAATTATAAGCATGATTTACTTAGCAACCTCCCTGGGTAAGACACTAAAGAGTCTTTATGAACATTCACTATCAGAAGTAACTAATTCATATAAAAAAATTTTTTTAAAAAGTAATTCATGAACATATTTTGCCACATAACGCCGAAGTCCTCCAGAAAGCCGCACTGGCTTGTGTCACCTTGCGATGTACCAGCAATCACTTACTTGCCCCCATCACCCACCCCAAATTCTGTCCTTGAAGCACAAATTAATACAAACCCACAAATACCGGACAAAAGCAACTCTGGAAAAGAACGTCCACCCTATCAAACGATCCACCCAACAAACAAAATGCCATGGGACGCAAAGACTGCACCGGAGCTCAAGGGTTTATGAGGGAAATTTTAAAACGACTCCTGGAAAAACGGCCCAAAAGCGCATGCCGTATCTGCAGGCTTCTTAAGCATCTGACTAGGAAGTCACTGTGCTTCCCTTTTAAAAGGATCCCCAAAGCCTATTCCAAGGCTGAAATAGGTTTTGCTGCATTAGATCTGATTTGTAGTAAGAGCCTCCAGACATGGTCGCAACTGTATTAGAACTATTCTGATTCTGTACGTTGCCCAAGTCATAATGTAGATTAGCTCCATGCCCATCTGAGAGCCTGAGGCTGCCACAAACTGACCCCTTCTGGGGGCCAACTGGAGAAAACAATTTTCTTCATGACCCCAATATCTGGGCAAGATTGCGAAGCAACTTTTTTTTTAAGTTGTTTTTTTTTTTAAGTAAGCTCTACACCCAACCAGGGGCTCAAACTCATGACCCGGAGATCAAGAGTCACGTGCTCTACCGACAGAGCCAGCCAGGCACCCCACTAAGCACTTTAAAAGGAAAGTGAGGTAAAGATTTGTATTAGCTTGTGAAGAACCAACTTTACGGGATCCTGGCCCAACATCTGCCAAACATCTTTTCAGTCAATGTCCCAACAATGCCAAGTTTTTTGCTTTTTGAGTTTTAAGTACAAGAAAGTTCACGTCAGTTTAAGGAAAAATTGCTATTTACCACTCCAATAAACCACCTTTTAGAAAATGTTTGTGACCAGCCTAAAAAATGCTCAAGGACCCGGATAAAAGTAAAAGCAAAACCAAATTACATATTTATCTGATTTTTTTTTTTTATTTTTTTGAAAATTAAGGGACCAAAAACAAATTTCTATCTACTACCGGGTAGAAAAAAGTCTCAATACATAAAACTCAACAAGACAACCAGACTGTTTCTACGCAGATCTACTGATTTTAATAAAGTCTAGTCCAGGTCATACTGCTAAAGGTGTTTAAGGAGAATATTGCCTGGTCCAAAGTCAGACAGAAAATTCTAGGGTTTTATCAACTGTAAAATGATGTAAGAAATTATCTAATGCCCTATACCTAAGCCCTATAAATCTCAGATCCCAGTTAAAGATTTTGACAACGGCTTTTCTTTGAAGGGCAAAGTTGCGTGGGGCGCCTGGGTGGCTCAGTGGGTTAAAGCCTCTGCCTTCGGCTCAGGTCATGATCCCAGAATCCCAGGATCAAGCCCCGCATCGGGCTCTCTGCTCAGCAGGGAGCCTGCTTCCTCCTCTCTCTCTCTCTCTCTCTCTCTCTCTCTCTCTCTCTGCCTGCCTCTCCGCCTACTTGTGATCTCTGTCAAATAAGTAAATAAAATGTTTTTAAAAAAAAAAAAAGGGCCATGTTGTAGACAAACACACATATACAGAACACAGGAAGCCAGATGTATTATCTCTTCTACAGCTAGCCAAATCTTCAGAATTTTTCCTCAAAGCTTTAAATACGATCCAAAGCAGAAGTCTATGTCCTGTCCAAGTTTTCAAACTTCCAGCCTCAAAAAGCTGCAGAAATTCTCCTAAACCCTGGGCTGTTCAGTCTATACAGTTGGAACTAAGTAAGTGTCTCAGTATCAATTATTTCAGAGTAAGCTTTAAAAGCTCTCCTACAAGGCTAAAATGTACTGGAAGAGAAAAGGAACTCATTTAAAAAATAGAGGGGGGGAAAAAAACAACCCTTGGATTCTCTGAAGTGGTAGAGAGAGCCTAAATTGCCCTGATGTTCTAGGAAATAAACTATTTTCTCTTGATGATGATTGGCCTTGCTTTTCCAAGTCAGCTCAATGGCCACCAGAAACGACAACAAAACACATTTTTCCCCTCTTGTCATTATGTGTATATACATTTTATATGTGTGTGTTCTGTTTACTGAAGTCCTCAGTCAAGGCTTTTAAATGTGTTTGAGAACAAATTGCTGATCGCTGGGTGGGCAGGGAAAGGGTCCAGGGTGGTGGTTTTTGTATAATGCTGAGCACATTAATGGGACTCCCCAAATACCATATTTATTTTACTTGTGGCTTTCAGGGTTGGGGGTGGGGGAGGAGGTTAGAGTTTATCAAAAACAAAACAAACTCAAAACAGGGAATTAGTGCAAAATTACCTGGATCACTCAAGGCCTATTTCCTTGCTTTTCCTGAATGTTTAACATTTTAATCCCTTTCTCTTCATGGTGTCTCTGTCTTTATAGACTCCACCTCTGATATGACCTGGGCTCTAAAATCTTAACTGTCCACTGAGTTTTAAAATAACTGTCTCGCCAAAACTGCTGACCCGTCATAGAGCCACATGCCATTGCCTCCTGAAATGGAACATGGTCAGGACAACAGGGCAGGTGAGAGGCAGTAAGTAAGCTCACCTGTGATTCTGCTGGCACACAACCTCACATATTGCGACGCCCCACCAATAGGACCAACAACACAACACCCCAGTCCTGGCCACATGAGGCAGAGATGGGTTAAGTCAAAGATATGGGATTTTTCTCAACTTAAATTTCTCAAGTAGGTTATGGTTTTGAACACTTAAACCTCTTTTGCTACCTACCAAGAGAAGGAAAAAAAAAAAAAGCCTTGGGTCGGCCTGATTAACTTTTTCCATTTACAGAGTCCTCAGCTGGGGGAGCAGAGAAAGAGGGTTTCGTACAATACATTCCTACCCTTAGAAATAAACAGACTGCCCATCTAAGTGAAACAGAAAGGTTTCTGAAGCAATTGGTGTGTTTAGGTGAATTAAATATAGCAACTCCTTAGAGAAGCACACTTGTCATTTTTTAAATTTTATTTCAAGAGCAGGGAAAATAAATAGCAAAGCAGCCAGTTAAGAATCAAAAAAAAAAGTGGAACTCGCAATTCAGGTCTCCTTTTCTCTGAAAAGGGAGGACCCTCAGTAGCCCCAAAGAACTAGCATGTAAATAACACTTTTCAAAATAATAGTTTGTAATAAAAAGGGCAGTTACCCTCAGGTGTGAAAGCAAATTTTCAGCTTACTGCGATTCAGGTGGGTTGCCCCCATACAAACTAAGAGTAAAATCTAGTGTTTTGCATTGATTTGCATGGTCCTAGGTCCCTCTATCTTCATTTAAATAGTTCCCTTTTCACAAGTGGACAAAGTGCTGAAGACTTACAAGAACCAATTAAGTCCTCCCCAACGTTCGGTTTCACTCTCAGAATCTCAGTTTGCACGCAACACATTATCTCCATAATAATCTCAACACCCTAACCGACTTGAAATCAGTTTGCCATCCTGTTAAGTTTATACAGTGGAACGCCAGACCTCTAAGAATACGTTACAGGTCATACATATCTAGATGCGTACTTTCCTGCATCTACACTCAAGTTCTTTTCAGAACGTTTAAGAACTCAGCTATGTGGGATCCTAAAAAAAAAAAAAAAAAAAAGTAGACGAAAAAAGTTATTGTTTCTTGGACTCCGGGTAACGTACCTGCAGGAACAAAGCCATTTTAAAAGGACACCACAAATAGCCAAACTACAAAATTCTGAAACGTCTGTTCAGGAGTTCCCTCCCACGGTTAAATTTTGTTTCTACCTACGGAAGGCACCGCCGCCCGCCGCAACATTTTTAACGTTGTTACGGACACACCACCTAAAATTTATGCTCAGAAGTCAAAGTCTCATTAAAACAGCCTAGACGACCGCTTGGTCAACGGTAAAGTTCTGAACTCTTTTCTTCGGCTCCCCCCAAGCGCGCCCCCGCATCACCCCTAAATTGACAAAACCTAATCACCCACATTCGGGGTCTTTTGACTCATCAGAAAAGAATGCAGCCGATGAGTTATCTATTAATCCAAAATGCCTCGGCTGGGAAGATATTTCACCAAGAACTTTTTAACACTGCAAGGGAGGGGGCAGGGAACCGAAGGTGTCTTTTCACGAGAACTTTCCCCGAGTTCTTTCCCCACCCCGCACACACACACACACCCCACAACCTCCGGCCCCCGTCGCAGAATTAAGTCCTGCGCCTCCGGGTCCCCATAAACGGAGGTCACCCAGGAGTCAGCTCTCGATTCCGCTTTTAAAATCCCACGCAAACAAAGCTGAGCATTATACTTACAAAAGTCTCCGAAAAGTCCTCAAAGTTACGCAATTTTAGGAACCCACAAAAACACGCTCTCGGAAGAGCCCCCCCCCCCCTTCCCGGGGCCCCAGTGTGGGGCTGTGCCTCGCGGCGAGGGCATTTCCCAAACCCCGGACTGCGGCGGCCCCGGGTCAGCGCCCGCGCCCCGCCGGCCGCTCGCACGCGGAAGCCCGCGGCCGGCGCCCCGGGTCGTACCCCCGCCGCTGCGAGCCCCGCAGTACCTCTTCCTCCTGAAGGTTCGCCTCGTTCGGGGTGTTCTCCTTCTCGGCTTTGCCGCCGTTGTTCATCTTCCCGGTCCTTCCTCGCCGGGCAGGGCTGGGGCGCGGGGCTGGGCGAGGGCGCGCTCGCCCACTTTTCCCTTCCCCGGGCGCCGGGGCTCCCTCGGGCGGGCGCCGCGGGCTACGGGGGCTGGAGCCGGGGGCAGCGGCGGCTCGGGCTCCCGGGGCCAGGCGAGACTGCGGCGCCGGGCGACCCAGGAAGTGCGAGGGAGACGCCGGGCAGGGCGCGGCGCGGGCCGGCTGGGCAGGGGACGGAGACAATCGGGCCCCGGGAGGGAGACCTGGAGAGGGAGGGCGGGCGCGAGGGAAGGAAGGAAGGAAGAAAGGATGGGGCGAGGGCGCGCGTCCCAGGAGGGAGCCCGGAGAGTTGGGGATGTGGCCGAGCGGGGGCTGGGGGCGGCCGCTGCCTGAGCCTGGCGGGGGCCGGAGGGAGGGGGCGAGGGGTGCCCAGACCGAGGGAGGCGGCGGTGCGGGGCGCGGGCCGCGGCTGGGACACTGGGACCCGGAGAGCCGCTGAGTGCGCGCTCCAGGCAGGCTCTGGGAAGTACGGGATCCAAGCAGCTCCCTTTCTCTCGCTCTCCTCCCTCCCCTCTCTCCTCCCGCTCCTCCTCCTCCTCCTCCTCCCTCCGCCCTCCCTAGACGTGGGCTGCCGGCTTCAGCCGGGAGGGACGGGACGCGGGACGGAGAAGCCCCCCGCGGGAGGAGGGGCTGCCCCGCGGCCGGATGGCGCGCGCCGGGGAGGGGCCGCGGGCCGCAGGCGGAAGCGGCCGACCCCAGCCCCCCGACTCGGCGGTAGGTCGGAGGGTGAGGGCCGAGGCGCGGGAGGGAGGGAGGCCGGGTCCTCCGGCTTCCTCGGCCCGGGGGGGCCCCGGCGGCCCGGCCGGTTGGGAGTTGGCGGACTCGCGTGGCGGTGCGCGCCAGCTCGGAGCGGGGCCTCGGGAAGCCAGCGCGACGCCCGGGAAGCGTGACGGGCTACTGCGGGGGGCCTGCTTCCCGCGGGGATTCGCACCCCTGTCCCTGCGCCTGCCCCTCCTTCTCAGTACCGGCTCGGACCTATTTCCTCCCTTCCTAGTGGGCAGCTCGAAATGACAGGATGCGAGAGAACGAGCGACGTCCGGGCGCAGCCGGGTCCTCCCAAACCTCCCAGCCTCCCCGCACCGGCCTTGGCTCCCTTCTAGGCTTCACGGGCTCCCCTGCTCAGGCTCCTCTCACCCTTATCAGACCGTCCTGGAATTATTTGTTTACCTGGCTGCCTCGCTTACTCTTCAGGGAGAGCCTTCCCGCAAGACAACGCCGCGCCCTCTTTATCATTATAACCCCGCTGCTATTTAAATACGCTACCTGGTATACAGTAGGCACTCAATAAATACTTGTTGGCTAAGTGCCTATTCCTCCCAGCGAGCCGAACTGGAGACCAACACGGATGATCCTCAGAGGGTCAAAGCGGCTTAGAGAAGGAAGAGGGCTCAGCATTCTGGGAGGTCAGCACACAACGCCTTGTTTTTGCGCCAACTCGGGAGAACTGCGTGGTTTTGTTTCCTCACCTGTGAAATGGGAGTAGTTAGAGTTACCTCCCAGGGGGTTGCAATTAAAGGAGATGACAGGTTGGTAGACCTATAGCAAGCAGCACCCATGCCTGCCCAGTTTAGGTTTACAGGAACTTGGAAGCTGGTGTTATTATTAAGGAAATTTCCATTTTTCCGGGGGCCGTAGGGAGCTTCTCCATTCCGGTATCATAAACACATAAATTTAAAACTGCATGTATCAGTAGGTTCTCCCTCACTTCCCACGCCCAGGAATTCTCTCCCACAGCACGCTGTTCCTTTCTTCACAGCACCAATCACAATTTTTGTTGATTTGCTTGCTTCTGTTTATCTCTCTCTGCTCCCCCTCCCCCAGACATTCTTCACCCTATAGTGGTTTAAGTGCTCCTGGGAGTGGGATGGGGGTGGGGATGAAGATAAGGCTCCTACTTTTCGGGAGTTTGAGCTGGTGCTGCAGAGACAGGATTCCCAAAACAACTCCACGGCACCGTGATCAGGGATCCTGGTTCAAATCGCAGGAAGCAACGAAAATACTTGCGTCAAGAGCGTTGGGCGGGGGGTGGGGGGGGGGGAAGAGTGGTGATACTTCCATTCACCTATTGGGTTTTTCCTTGGCGTGAGGGGGTCGGGGGGGAGTCTGAGGACTTTGATAAATAGATTTAATTGCTGTCATGATGTCCTGTCTCTCTATGGGGGGAAAAAAGTGTATCCTGGATGAAAATAAGCCAAGAATCTGTTGAACTTGCAACTGAAGTTTAGAAAAGGCAAGGGCCACAATTAATCTGGAAACCTGGACACAGCCCTTTCCGCTCCCAGTCCCTCCCTCAGTTACAGAAGGAGCCACGAGGGGGCAGTGTCTTCCTGAGCAATGGCTGAGTGGTGGGCTTGGGCCCCCACGCCACCAATGCTGCCCGCACTCTGCCCTCCTTGGCCCTAGCCGGGTACTGAATACACTCCACAGAAAGATATTGTCTTGCTGGAGCCTGGCAAAGGCCCAAGAAAAATGACAATTGATCTAGTCATTGATGGTTGCAGTCCGACGCCACTTATGAGTAGGTGGAAGATGTCTGATTCCAGGATGCGGCTGCGACCCCAGCCAGGGAAATCTGGCTTCCTTCCAAGTGTAGAACCTGATTCCTTGTCTTTCAGCCAAGCCAGCACTTTTGTCCATTGTTAAAAGTCAGAAACCTCTGGGATAAAAAAATGAAAATCGGAACTGAGAGGATCTTTGTCTGATCTAGCATTGTTGTGTTCCCAGCATCCAGACAATGCCTGACACATAGTAGGCACTCAGTGGTTGTGTTTGACTGAATGAACACATTAAGTCTTATCAGATATTGATTTTCAGCCTTGAATGACATCAGATCCTTCCAAGACCCTGCAGGAGGGACTGAGTTAGACGTGTCTCAGCATGGAGAGCCACCACAATGGAACTAAGCAGATTCATGGTAGTGGTCTATAGTCACTATTTTGCAGGGGAAGACCCTACCTAGGTAGAGAGCTTGCTCAGAATGAGACAGCTGTTGAGATTTCAAAAATAAAAAATAAAATCACACCGCTCAACAAGTCTCCTGATGCATCAGGCCGTTAACAATACAGCAGGGAGGCCTATCAGTGGTGAGCATGAAATTCAAGGTGTTTTCAGAAAAGCCTGTGGGGATGGGGGTGATACACCACGAAAAGAGGGACTCCTGTTTCTTGTCCCTTCCATGAAGAATGGTCTAGACTGACTTAGAAGAAAATAGGGTCACATATTACTAACAAACCCCCCCTGAAAATCTGTAAATAGACTTTGGCTGTTTATGAAGCTTCAGTGAGAGGAAAGACATCATTCAGGATATAAATGATCCTTATGGCCTGTTGATTACTCTAAAGAACGTTTCAAAAGTGAGATCTCACTCAGTAGCACTGAGTAGCTTCCAGACACACCACGAGGTCCAAGACAACAAAGGGATTTCATATCCTAGAAAAATAGGGCTAATGGCCACGAAACACCTGCTTTCTCCCTTGCTCACCACTTTACCACATTGCTTCCAGCCTGCAAGGTTAAATGCCAGATGGAAAGGGGAATATTGGATGCACCTGTAGCTTTAGGACTTATCTCTGTTTCTCTGGCAGTGTTCATTCTGAAGTTTGCTTTAAGAAATCCAAACTGATCATTACGTCTTCAATGTTTGTCTCTGGGAACTGCAGACATTAAAGATTTTTTGAGGCAGTTTGCATGGCAGGGGTTTTGTACCTGTGCTAAGACAGCAGCAGAAAGCTACAGTATCTACCACATGGGGTTCTGAATATCTGTTCACACTTCTGCATCCTCTGCTCGACCCAGAAAGTTCTGGAGGCCAGAGGCTATGTTTTATTGGGTTATGTCATCCTTGAAATCTCTCTCCCTTCACCCCCACCCATCTCCGGGCCATCATCATCTTCCCCTGATTTGTGACTTTTTAAAAAACACGACACTGTATATGCCACTCCACAGCGCACATTTCAGTCGTGTGAAATACACGCACGTCGTTGTGCAACATCCTCTTGATTTTTACCTCCTACATAGTTGGGAGATGCAATCATTTCCCTCTAATCATTTGTGGAAACAAATGCATGCAGCCGCATGGAGAGGCCCACGTGGAAGGGAGTCAGGTCCCGGGCTCACAGCTCCCGAGGAGCTCCCGGCAGACAGCTGGTACCAATTGCCAGCCTTTCGAGTGCGTTCTCTTGGAAGCAGATACTCTGGTCCTGGTTCAGCTGCCCCAGCTGACGCCACACGGAAAAGACATGAGCGGTCTTCAGAGTCATGCCCAAACTGCAAAATTGTTAGCAAAAAAGTGAATGCTGTTGCTTTAAAACACTAAGTTTTAGGGTGTTTTCTTGTACAGCTGTTGAGAACTGAAACGTAATTGCATACCTAGAGGTGCGGTCCCGGGGTATAGAAACCTAGAACATGGGGCAGTGGCTTTGGGACCAGGTAGAGGATGGAAGCTGGAAGGACACTGAGGAGTCTTTCTAGCAACAGGCATTGCTAAGGGGCACTAAATATTGTTATTAGAGGTTGGAGAGAGGGGGAGTCCATCCACTTAGCTATTGGAAAAATGATTAGCTAAACTAGCTTGCGGTTCACACAAAAGAGAGAAAAGATGCCTAACGAACACGTGGACCTGGCTAAGGAGCTATTTGGATAGATGTTAAAAAGGTTGAAGAAGGGGTACCTGGGTGGCTCAGTGGGTTAAGCGTTTACCTTCAGCTGAGGTCATGATCCTGGATTCCTGGGATCAAGCCCCACATCTGGCTCCCTCCTCAGTGGAGAGCCTGCTTCTCTCTCTCTGCTCCTCACCCCACGTGTGCTCTCAAGCGTGCTCTCTCTCTCTCTCTCTCACTCTCCCAAATAAATAAAATCTTAAAAAAAAAAAAAGTTTGAAGAATTTCTTTGAGATGCTTATGATATAGTACAAGAGACATGAGAAGAGCAAAAAAAGAAAAGGGAACTGTTCGTTTTTTATCTGAATTTAGAGGAAACATAAAGAAGCCGGGGCCTGCTGGGTTTGAAATAAAACTGTCATTCCCAGCTTCTCCAGAAGACCAAACCCTCAAAATAAGATATGGCCTCGGGGCCAAAGTCAAATCCAGAGTGCTCTGGGGAAAATATGGCCTTAGGTGAAGTTCAGGACAAGAGCACAGCCAGAAGACCCTGTGGTAGGCAGTCTCCTCCATGGCCCCCAATGATCCCTACTTCCTGCTTCTCAAGGCCCTCGAGTACGAGTGGGACCCAGCGACTTGCTTTTCATGAATAGAGTCTGGCAAGAGTGATAGATATCACTTCCAAGACTAGACTAAGGGAGACCTGACTCCCTTTTTACACACGCTTTCGTTGTGCTGTCACTTGCTGCCACCGATGGAAGCTAGCTACCGTGATGCCAGTAGCCCTATGGAGAGGCCTGTGTGATGAGGAGAAGGGTGGCTTTCATCCAAACACCAGCAAGGAAATGGCGCTCTCAGTCCAACAGCCCACAAGGGACCGAATCCTGCCAACAACTACGTGAGCAAGCTTGGAAGTGGGTCTTCCCTAAGTGCGGCCTTAGATGAGACCCGTTATGGGCTGAATGTTGGTATTCCCCAACCCTCCCTCCCCCAATTCATATTATGAAGCCCTAACTCCCCGTATGGTGGTATTAGGGCCTTTGGGAGGTAATTAGGTTTAGATGAGGTCATGAGGGCGGAGCCCCTGGGATGGGATTAGAGCCCTTACAAGAGATAAAGAGACCTCAGAGCTTCTGCTCTCTGCCCTGTGAGGATAGGATACAGTGAGCAGGTGGCCGTCTACGCGCCAGGAAGAAGCCCCTCACGGAGAACTAAACTGGCCGGCTCCTTGAGCTTGGACTTCCCAAACTCCAGAACCGGGATATTTTGTTATGGTAGCCTGAGCTGACTAAAACAAGAGCACACCCCCAGCTGACACCTTGGCTGCCACGTTTGAGAAACCTTGAGGCAGAGGGACCCAGCTAAGCCAAGCCTTAGATTTCTAACCAACAGGAACTGTGAGATCATAACAGATTGGTGTTTTAAGCCATTACGTCTGGGTAACTTGTCATTGCAGCCATAGATAAATTGATAGCTCTGAAAGATTTAACATGGTAACTCCTAGATCCTTTCAATAGCAGGACTGCTAAGAATCTACTTGGTGTTGCCCACGGCAGTCTCACACTGGCCCAATGTAGAGAAGGCCTCCCTCAGAAAGGGGCAGCTTTTGCCTAAGGGAGGTGATTATAACCTGAAGCATAGGAAACCCATGGCTTTTAAGGATCTCTGCTAGTTTGCACTGAAGTAGAGATTGTGCATAACGAAA